TCATATTGCAATTGTAGACAAAAATTGGTCAAAACGTAAACAAAGTTTTGAAATTATATTAATGGATGTGGGGGTGGGTGAATGATGTGAGTGGGAGTTTGGTTTGGGATAAATATAAGAATATCGACATCCATATTCATACATCCACACCCACCCTCGTATCTACTTCTGAATCACTGTATATATGCATTAGGTCCTTAGTATACCTATGATAATGCTTTTGTGATGTATAATTATTAATGGACCTTGATTTTTAGATGGAAATATCGAATTTTAAGAGGCTTTACAACTTTATTAAACTTGAGAACTGAAGTCTTAATTATTATTTGTTTGGAACAAATATAAATAGACGATTATGAGTCGAACGTAGGGATGTTTGTGGTCTCTCATGGAGTATGGTTTGATGTCTGCCAAAGCTATAAAATAAATCATTCAGAATGAAATAAACTTTATCAGAGATTATAATAGCAGAATGATTTCACGATGGTTTAATAATGAAGTTTCTCATACATTTTTCGACTGACATTGAATTTAGTTTGAGTAGAAAATCTTCTGCAATACATTTAAACATTGAGCTTCTGTCATTGACAGAATATATTTGAAAGATATTCGTTTAAAAATATTTTCATTCAATATTGTGTATTTTTTTTTCTTTCAATTTTATTCATTAGAGAAGATATATCATAAACAACAAAAGAATCTGATGAGAAACTCATTTCTTTAGAGCTGCCAGTAGTTACCGTTCTTGAAGAAATTCGACACGGTCAATGTGATCATTGTCTTATAAGCCTTTTTCTTTTGTTCGTTTATGTTGAGCAAGAGAAATTGTTGTCGAAAAAGATGATGTATTTGTCTTGTAGACTATAAATGAATGTTTAGATGTTGAAATAATTCTTCAAACTTGAATGAAAGAAACGATAATCAAGCAAATATAATTCCATTTCCACAAAAATATGGTTAAAAACGAAATTCGATCTCATTGATTGAAAGTAGAAAAGTTAATGCCGATGTTCACTTTGTTAATATTCGACAAGTCCAAATATCTGAATCCTTCCATTGATAACAAAGAAATGAACTTATAGATAACGAACAAACATGATATTCTTGATATTGGCAGCTAAGATGTTCGATTCCTGATTATTAGTGATCGCGCAATGTATAATTATAAATCAGAAAAACGCTAGTAAATTATTTATATAGAGTAAATAGCTAGTTCGGATAGCATATAATAACTTTGGTCATGTTTTTATCATTATCTTACCATTTAAGTCTTGATATTTGACTGATTTATTTCAAAGATTGAGAATGTTTATAAATCGGATTTCTTTCTTTTATTTAGAGTTGAGTCAGATTTTAATATAAAGTCTGTAAGAATGTTTAGAAATGACAATAGAAGTTTTGAAATAGAATGATATCAAGAATTGCTCATACTCATTTATCAAGCTGATTGATATCTTTTCCTACCTAATCATATAAATCTTAAAGTAATTTTTGGACATAGATATAACATTGTCGGTCACATCCTACTAAAAAACACTACTAAGTTTTTCAATTGTTATTGTTTATTTTATGAGGAAAATATTTCTTTCAAGATCATCTAAAGTCAAAAAGCTCATCATTAATTAAAGCGAATGAAAATATAAACGAATACTTGTAAGAATTCAAATCATCTCGATAATATACCTAAAGATTCTACTCGTTTTCAACATCCAAGGAACAATTGAATAACATTTCATAGTGATAGATTGTGCGTTATTACATACATATAAACATTAGGCAGCATTAACTTACAATTCTACTAATTATCTTCACTTTTTACTATACACACCAGCAGTATTCTACTTAAATCATAATCAAATTGGGAATAGAGGAGCACAATATTTGGGTGATGAGCTAATACTTAATTAAATAAGCTACTTTTTCAGCTTTTCTCTCCATTAAAGATATTCACTTATTCACAAAAATTCAAATAAATTTGTTGATAATCAACAGGCAAATTCGAGCAAGCAATGGAAAGATCGTTGAGACCAAGTCTTCAAGATCTTATTTTGCTAATGTTAGATATTTGCAAGAATGTTCTAGTTGTTCAAATATATTCGAAAGAAAGGAAGCATACGTTGAACTTACTGACAAACTATTATCGAGTTTAGTTGAGAATATTTTTCAGTAAAGTATTTTAAGCTGATTAAGATCATAGAGTGCGGGTGTGAGTATTAGGTGTGGGGATGGGCGTTAGAACTCGTTTCATTTATGCCCACACACACACCAACACACGAACACCTCACACCCATACTCACATCCACACTCACACACCCACCTTTCCGTCTGAAATTCACCAATCATTTTAGCCGTATAAACGAGTCGTCAAAAGGTTGAGAATCAAAACGATTAACTATTAAAGCATCTTTTTTTACCGTTCGTTAGTTAATAACATCATTTTCTTTAATTAGATAATTTCATTTTATTTTTGTATATACTAGTACATAAGTGTCTTGTTAAATATTCTGCGATAAACTACTAGGAGTACTAAATTGAATACTCATGCATCTATCTATGTATAAAGGTTTAACTAAAAACTTGTATGAGTCCTCATCAGAGTACACGAATAGTATGCATACACATTAAAATGCTCGAGTATTCACACGAGTACTTTGAGTACTTGCTTGATGAGTATTTTCACTGGGAAATGAATATTAATATTATTGTGTAATGAAGATTATCTCATGTTCATAGAGATTGAGTATTTGTTGATTTCAACATAAAATATGATAAAACAGAAGTATTAATTAATATTTCATGCCTGGTTACCATCGAATTTTTAACGAATTCAACACTTTGAATTGTAAAAAAAAGTGAATTCTATTATATAGAAACTTTGTTGTTTCTTTGCCATATTACTCTTCATTCATTCTTTCTATTAATTCTTACTATCGTTTAGTATAATGATTTAGCGATAGAATACATTTTTGAAAAGAAGATAAAGTAAATGATAAGTCAAGTGAAAAAACAAAGCATACCTTAGATAATCCAAAAACAACATTTCAAGGCTATATATATATGTTTGAGTATAAATGTTGATCTCTTTTTTCCAATTCACACCCAATATGAAGACCTTATGTCAACAGCATTTCTACAATGTCCATCTTAGCTAACATGAAATGTGTTATAAATGAAATGAAAAAGTGCATCGTTTATCGTTCTGTTTATGTTGTGTAGAAAGTGAAGAACAACAAGACTTTTTTGATCGCTTCTGTATCATTTGAAGACGAAATAAAAATCCAAAATATTATTTCTTATGAGATAACTCATTTTGATAGACCTACTTTTTTAAAAATCTAGATGCACATACTAATTTCTTTACGTTGATCGATCTATGTATGTGGTTAAAAAGAATAATCAAGATGCTTGCAAAAACATGAAATACGAGCACATTTTACTAGATTGAATAGCAGAGTCAAGTGACTCTTTCGTAATTTTTCCCCATGATGTTGAAAGTGTATGACACATTATAATGCGATAAAAAAGTACTTGCAACACTAAACTATGAATTTTGTCTACCTTTATGTGTAATCATGATTTATTACTCATACTGTCATGTGTCAACACAAAATGTTTGCGTGTGTTGCTTTAGGTTTTCGCGTTATTTTTACACAGGGAACAAAAAAATATTGAGATTGAATGCATTTATAAGCATTGTGACCACTTTCTACAGACCATTTAGAGAAGGAAACGAAAATGAGAATCTTGGTAGATAAAATTCAGCGTAGTCAGCTCAAAACATTCTTAGGTCTTCATTTTGAATTGTCATTCACGATTAAGTATTCATTTCATATATATCATGTAGAAATATGTCAGAAATTTATAAATTTAACAATATTTCTTAGGTCGAAATTGAATTGAAACTTTCTCTATTTCAGTTATTGATCCTATCACTCGACTCCAACAATGTCGATAAGAAACAAAAAATGTGTACAACAATCCAAGAAAGACGAAGAATCTCCTCAACACACAGTTCTACTTGATATATCACCTCGATTCCAATGGGATCATGGAAATGGTTACTGTGGTGAAGTATCTCTTCAATGTATTGGTAAGTTCTCATTGTTTACCATGATAGTTTTCCTCATATACACATAAAAAGTAGAGTGAAATTTTCGTTATTCAAAGTTTCAGAACTATGTAAAATTTTTAGAGTATGAAAACTTTTGAAGGTTTACAGTTTACTAAAAATATTTAGGACTTTACTATGGTGCTTGGATTTCTCAAGGTCTCA